TATATATATATACATATATTTATTTATTTTAGTTAGTTAGTTTTTAAACATAGTTATTTATTTATTTATTTATACAGTTTTGAAATTTATTTATTTATTTATACCATTTATTTATTTATTTATTTATTTATAGTTATATATATATAGTCTATAGCTTTGGGTTGGAAAGGGCCTTAAAAATAATTTTCTCCCACCCCTGCCATGGCAGGGACCCCTCCCACCGTCCCAGGCTGCTCCAAGCCCCAGTGTCCAGCCTGGCCTTGGGCACTGCCAGGGATCCAGGGGCAGCCCCAGCTGCTCTGGGCACCTGTGCCAGGGCCTGCCCACCCTTCCAGGGAAGGATTTCTTCCTGATTTTTCATCTAAATCAGAATTCTCTCTTTTACTTCTCTGTGAATTTCACTTAAATTCTCATTAGAGCTGGATCTGTCTCCTTTTTGCCGCTACACAACATTTTTACCTTGTAATTCAGAACCTAAGGATGGCCAGTGGAATGTGCAAAATCCACTCAGAGTAGTTCTGGGACTGTGGGGAAAAAGCAAAGGTTTCATGTTCTGGTTCCTAGTAATGAACTAAATGAGATTGTGTCCTTCTTTGAGCATAAATGAAAGATAAAAGACAGATGAGATTTATGAACAAGGTCATTAGTGTACCAAATTTCTCTCATTAGATCTGTAACATTACTTTCCAGCTTACACAACTCTCATTAGAAAAATTTATGAACTGGAATGATTACAAATACACCATACTCTAAACCATCCCTACTTTTAATTGCCAAATGGTAAAAAAACAATTATATTTCTGTGCTACAACAGAGCTGTACTTTTGTGCATGGGCTTCTTTATTAGAATTTAAGTAGAGGTTGTTCCTGAAGCCAGGGGATGGGGCGAGAGGAAAATGAACCATTTAGTGCAATTTAGCTGCAAACCTGAAGCATTGCTTTAATTTTATAACTGTGTCAGACCCAGGTTGATCTTGCAGGCTAATATTACTGTTTTTTCTTCTCACTAGACTCCCACTCTCACAACCCTGTGCCTGATTTGAAGTGACAGTGAGCGGAAGCATAAGGTATCTCTCATTCTGTTTGGACTCCTTGTTTACAGAAGAGTGATGGAGATGCTATTAAGCACAAAAGGCATCACCATATGCCTGTTTTTCTTTGTATTGAGTTTGGCAGCAGCTATTGAAATACCATTATCAGGTGAGTTGTAGCTATTTGCTGTGCACTTTGCTGTTTTGTTTGGTATTCCTTTGCAGCTATCCCTGAAGGAAAAATACTAAATCCTCCTTTCCAGTTGTGTTCCATTTGGAATTTAATCTCGCCACAATGTGGCCTTTGGGAAATTCAGGTCTGATCAAAAACTAAGCTGTCCTGTTTGGGCCTGCTTAAATGGAGCAGTAAAGTTGTCTAATAACATCTCTCTGGGTGTTAGCTCCGAGGGTTTGGGTTTGTCCTTCACTTCAGTTCCTCATTTTGGCTCTGAATGCCCCTGAAGCTTTTTTGATGTGCCTAAATCCCTCCTTGCATGTGGTGCAAGCTGCCATCCCAGCCTGGGGAAGGAGCAGGTGGATGTCTCAGGGCCAGTGTTGGTCCCCAGAGGAGGATTTCACACTCTGTGCCCTGCCCCAGGGAGCAGCTCCTGCATCCCTCGCCGGCTGGGAGGAATTTAAACTGCTTGTTTTACATGGATCATGAGCTTCCAGGACACGTGTAAAATACGGGATGAGGCTCACAGGGATCAATCCAAGGAAAGCCTGAGGACCCCTCTGCCTGGAGTACAGCCCAGACCTCCCCAGCTTTGCATTTTTCAGACAAAATGGACCAGGAGGGTCGAAAACTGCATTTTGCTTTGTTGTTCCTGTTGAAAAAAAAAAAAACAGGCAACAAAGCAAAACTCAATAATATAACAATATTAGAGTTTATTTATTATGATGGGGAAAAATAAAGAAGTAAACCTAAGGAGGAATAAATTTAGGCAGTTTTCAGGGTCTCTCCTACTTTTCAGAGTAGGACATGGGCTGGTTTCAGGGCATCCTGTGGATCTGCCATGAGCTCTTAGCACTCTGGAGCCTGCCAATAGCCATGGCTGCAAAGAGGAAGCCAACCAAGCAGGTTTATAGGATATTTTTGTAAAACAATCCATATTTGCATTGGGAAGTAGAGGTTTGTGGGTTTTTTTTTCAGGAAGGAACAGCAGTGGCTCCTTGTGTTTCAATAAAGCCAAAGTGGAGCTGCGACTGTAAAGCACAGGACAGACCCTCTGGGCATCCACTGCTTTTATGAACCTACCCCAGGGAACCACCTAACCCTTAATTAGCTGTAATGAAGCATTTTATATTATAATAAAAAGTTATTTCTCATCAGTGGAGCTGGTGGGCTTGGAGGTGTTCACCTTTGAGACCATATGATATGACAATACACAGTGTTTCGCTCCAGCTTTCAGCTCCCTGGACTTAAAGCAGCACCCAAAGAGCATTTTAATTCTCTTCCTGGCTGTTTATAACAATGGGGTGATCCTATTATACCAGCTCCACTGCAGGGAACTTTCTCCTTCCTCTGTTACACAGGCTTTTGTAACACTTTAATTCCCTTAGAAAAAAACCAAAAAGTTTGTGCAGCCTCGAAGCGTGACCGTGCAGCTGCACCCTGGGGCGGATATGAAAGCAGCCTTGCAGCCCATGGGTTTTCCTGGCAGTCCATGGGTTTTCCTGGCAATTTTAGCCAGGATGGAGCAGCAGTTTGCTGCTTCACATGTGTGCATCTGAGTCTGGATTAAATCCAGTGACTGACTTCACCTATGAATACATTTGCCCCAGCCCTGTGCTTTGGCTTGAGCTCTTGCGTGGTCCCAGCTCCCCTCTGCCCCGGGTGGGTTTGGAGGGGAATGAGGGTGGGCACTGTCCCTCTGCCAGGCCTTTCTGTGGCCACGGAGGCAGTGGCAGTGGCCAGAGGGTATTGTGAGTGCCAGGGGGGAGATGTTCATCTTTTTCCCAAGGCGAGCCTCACTCTCTGCAGGAATAATGCAATCCTGCCATTGTCTCTCCACTCAAGGGGAGCCCAGTTTGGCTGGAATGTTGTTTTAACCCAATTCCACTTTGTGCTCAGTTTCCCAGCTTCCAACCATCACGGAGCAATCCCACACCCAGGTTGCCTACCCTTTTGACGAGGACTTCACCATTAAATGTGAAGCCAGAGGAAACCCCCAGCCCACGTGAGTACTGCCTGGAGAAGCAAACAGAAGCTGAGCTTGCTTTTAACCTTTGCCAGGCATTGTTGTGTCTGTCTGGAGCTGCTGCACAAAATCCTGCTCATCATCCTCAGTGGGGTTAAGGTTTGGCTTTCCATTCAGGCCATTCAGCTTTTGTTGCTCCATCACTTCCCCTCACCCTGTGAATAGGTATCAACATGGTTTTCCTTGCTGGGGGATGTTTCATTTCTCTGGCACGTGCCAAAAACCCCGTGGTTTAAAAAAGAAAATAAATTCTTGTCTGGGTTGTGCTGCAAAAGATGGGCAGTGTCATGGTAATCAAAGTTCCCAGCTGTTCCTCTGCCTCTTCCACAGCAACCCTAAAAATCCCAAACACATTAAACTGTGTATTCAAACACCACATTTGCATTTTATCAGATATCTTGTCTGTACCTAACATCAGCAGGGCCGTGGTGATGGTACAGATAGACACAGGAGTTCTTCAGAGAAATATCCAAAGATAAGCTCTGTGCATTTTACACCAGTGTGGAAAAGACAAAGATTTTTAATGAAAATGTGATTAACAAGAGTGTAATAATAACACAGTAAAAACTCCTCCAGAGGCTTTCACCACTGAATGGTGTTTGGGCTAAATGAATAGCTGGTTTGAATGTAATTTTTTTCCCTTTAATCCTTCCCTTCTCCTTTCTTTGTAATACAATTTAAACTTTAAAAGACATTCTTTTATTTAGATCAAGGCAATTTGGTAATTTTTAATTGAGCTCTGAATGGGGATTTGTAGCATGATAACAAATTCCTTTTGTTCCACTGTTTGTCAGTGCATCAATGAAAAGTTTCCTGATGTATTTCAATGATGTGGTAGTGCCTGTTAAGCAAGGGGATCCCATATTCCTCCCATCATGGAGCAAGGCAGTTTTGCCAAGACCAGTGAAGTACCAAAACAACTGTTTTGTTGTTAATTATTTATTCTCTTAAAACCAAAAAGAAAGGTACATCTGCCACTGAATTGATGATACACTGTAATTCCCAGCTGTCTGATTTTAAATCAATTTAGGCAAATTTCAATCCATCTGAGAATTGCAGGCACAGCATTTATCAAAATCAGCCCCCAGCAGCATCAAAACTACAAATGGATCTATGGCAAGGAGAACCTCAATGGAATCACCTCAGTTTCTTCTGATTCAGCCATGGTGGAGGGTGGGAAAAGCTCTTGTGGATCTTTTCCATTCTGAATCAGCAATTCCACAGGCTTTGCAGAGCTGCAGGTGCTCTGTCCCTGCCCCTGCTCCCAGCTCTGGGCTCTTGTCCCATGTCACAGCCAAGAAAAGCAGAGAGTTTGGAAGGAGGGATGTGCCCGAGGGGCAGCACGAGGCAGAGGAGCGCAGTGGTCGCTCTGCCATTCAGCTCTCTCCTCTTACATCCAGTTTTTTCCTTTTATTTTGTTAAATATATAAATTAAAATTATATGCATAAATATATATAACTTTAATAAATAAATTAAAATAAATATATAAATTAAAAATATACATAAATATATATTTAACTTTTATTTGCTAAATAACCCTCTTGGCCTGATAATTACCCCTCATTTATACCAAAATGCTGTCCTGAGGCCTGCCCACTGTAACATTTCTTTTCCTTTTCAGCTTTAACTGGACTAAGGATGGAAAACCCTTTAATTTATCATCTGACCCGAGGATAGTTACATCTAACAACTCTGGAACTTTTGTGATCCAAAACCGGGGAATCATCAACAATTTCCAAGGGAAATATCGCTGCTTTGCCTCCAACGTGCTGGGAACTGCCATGTCAGAGGAAATTGAGCTGATTGTTCCAAGTAAGAGCTTTATTTTTGGTTTGAATTTGTAGTTATTACTATTATTATTTAAATAAGAACTATCTTTCCTCAAAATTAATGGGAAAGAAGCAGCTCGCTAAGGTGATGCATGGCAAAACACGAATTGTTTGTTATTCAGTGAACATTCAAAGAAGAAAGTGGTATTTTCTTCTTTGAATAATTTAATTTAATTCCTGGTTTTGAGGACAGAAACCAAATCTGGATGCAGGATTTCAGACCACTGAACTATCAACTCCCACAGGTTATTACTGCAAAATAGCAACGGATGCAAATGTTTGAAAACTCCAGGGGAAGTGATTTGATCAGCTGTGAGTTCATTAATCTGATGTCAGCAGCATTCAGGGATTGGGATAAATACTGATGGGGAGAAGAATAAAGCCCTGCAACTAAATGGAAAACAAGCTTAAAAATAAAGCAGGGAAAATTACTGATCCTAGGAATTTGTGCTTCCACTATTAGCACGGAGGAAGGGCAGAGGGGGAAATGAGGGATTAAGGACCAGGTTTGTAGAAGTGGCATGAAATTTATGGATAGAATCAAAGGATCATTAAGGTTGGCAAAAAGCTCTTAAAAATCATTGAGTCCAACCCTTAACCCAGCCCAGCCATGTTCAGCATTCACCTGTGTCCCAAAGCTGAAACAGCTGCTTTGTACCAATCCATTTAATCACCTGTAGTTTGGAATATGAGCACGCATTTTGGTTCTAAATTCAGGATTGTAACATACGAAATGAGAAGAGGAAAATCAGAAGCAGAATCTTCCTAGAGGGAGTAGAAAGGACAAGGAACTCGTCGAGCTCCATGATGGAGTAGGGTGAGAACCTGAAGCAGGTTTTATGATGCAGTTCTGATGCCTTGTGCAGGCTGCCGTAGAGCAGAGGCTGGGCAGAGTCACAGAATAAAGCAGGGATTTATTAAAGGATCTCCTCCATGGACCCACCTTGGGCAGCACCAGAGCCCAGCCAGGGCTGCACCCAAATGAACCAAAATGGTCCCAAAATGAACCCAAGATGAACCAAAATGGCACAAAATGAACCCAAATGAACCAAAATGGTCCCAAAATGCACGAGCGCTCCCGGGGGCTCTCCCTGGGATCAGTTCTGCTCCATTGGCACCTTGGAGTTCATTGTCCCATTCCAGCTCCAGCCCATCAGTCCCACCCTGCTTGTTTTTCTCTCTCCAGCCCACGGTGTTTGTGCTCCTGGGCTGAGGTTTGGATCATTTGTCCTTGGTGCCCAGCTGGAGCAGGAATTGTTTTGTGTCCCTGCTCTGTGCACAGAGCTCAGCATCCCCTGGTATAAATCCCAAACCCACACACTAAAGCAGAACAGAACCTGAAAAATATAAATGCTAAAACCTGAGGCATCAGTTCAGTGGCAGGAATGGAGAAAAGCAGCAGTGCAGTGGATTTTTTCAGATTAGATCCTGCATTTCCAAGCTCCTACAATATTTTGTTATGAAATATCTGACAGCTCCGTGCTCAGGTGGAATCCATGTGTCAGGGGATGCATCCACAGCCTTCTCAGCCCCACAGTGACAGGAGGTGGCTGCTTTTGTACAAAAAACACTTCTGGCAGATCAGTGCAGAGGAAATGGGCTATGAGAAACATGAATAAACATTTTTGTCCTGTCTTCAGCACAGGAAATAATCCTGAGAAACATTCCAGCCGTAGCCAGGGCTGGGAGAGTCGTGGTGCTGTGGGTACATGGAAAACAAGACATTGCAAGGGCTGGGGGGGTTCCTGGGAGGCAGCTGCTGAGGATGCCATGTAAATGTATTTTATGAGTGCTCCTTATAAATGACACACTTTATTTCCTTCCATCCAGATTTATGAATTTCTTTTCCATTGGGAAATCTATTTTATGTTGCAATGTGCTGCACAGTAATCCCTGATGCCAGAGCTTGGTGATGGGTGAGGAATTAGCAGCATTCCAGGTGTTGTTCTGTGGTTTAGTCTCCACCACCTTGCAGCTGTTTTTGGGAAGAGTTTTCCAGAGCAGAGGAGAATTGGGGAAAGCTTTGGAACAGTAAGCTGAGGTTTGTTGAACCTCAGGCTCCACAGGTAGGACAGGGCAGCTGATGGCAGCTGGAGTTTCAGGCAGGGACAGGAGTGATGCAGTTTAACTCCAGACAGGAGATGGTTTTTCACTTTGGAGTCTGGCCAGGGCAGTGGGGTTAATACAACCTCTCTTCGGCAAAATTTCTCAAACTCATTACATGTGAGAGGAGTTAAAGTGCCCAGTGTCATGTTTGCACCTCCAGCAGCAGAATGTTGTGATACTCCATTGCTACTGAACTAAAAAAGATGGGAAACAAGGAGTTGATGTCTGTACTTGGGATTATTGGATCTGTATTCAGAGAGGACTTTTTTTGCTTTTAATGAAGAAGTCTAGAGTAGCTTAAGTAGATATTAAATACATTGGGAGTGGATGGCAATGAATTTATGGAGAGGTTACAAACATGGCTGTTATCAAAAGCAAGAGGAATTTTAGTGCTAATATATGCAAATTCCTAAACCCAGCAAGAAAAAGACATGGTACAGATAATGTATTAGAGGGATTTACCCAACTCACACATCTTTTGAAGCACATTTGCTGTTATTAGAACTCTTCTGCCATCAGTTCTTTCATTTACTGGTGCAGTGTAAAAGCTGCAAATTAAATCAGGATTCAGAGAGGAGTAGAAGCACCTTTGATTTTCTAAAGTGCTCTACAACTGTGCCCCAGTGAAAGAGCTGCTGGTGCACGGATCTGCTGCAAATCAGAGTCTGCCACGGCAGGGCTGGGGATAAATCACCTCTATTCACCCCCAGGTTTTGGAGCACAGACTGGTACATGTGAGATCACTCCGTGCATTCATGATGATGATGCAGAGGTGGCAGAGCTGTGCCAGCTGTATTCAAGTCAGATGTAAAGCTCCTTGGCAAAGTCACCGTGCCAGGGAAGGGAAGAAAACCCCAGTGAGGCAGAGCAGGACAGGTTCTTTCATAAATTACATTTCCACTGCAGAAGCAGAATGCTGGGTCTGCAAGGCTGCTGCTGAAAAGGAGAACAAAAGAGTGTTTACTCACAGTAGTCATTCCAGGGAAGCAATAGAAATGTCAGCAGAAATGATCATTAAATCTCACCTACACAATGAAAATACCCCACCTCCCCTATGTAGGATGACATTAAGGAGAGGAGGAAGAATGGGCTCTGAGGATCTCGATGTGTTTGCAGCACTAACAAAGGCCAGATTGTTACAAGATACATTCAGCATGAAAATGAATTTAAATGGTGAGAACACAGACTTCAGCTCCCCTCCTCCAGCATTTCGGGAATCTGCTGCTTGAATTAGTGAGCAGGCCCAATGCCAGAGGAAGGAGAAGAAGTACAGTTTAAACTTCTTTAATTAACTGTGCTGTAAAAGACTCTTCACGGCAGACTGAGTTAAGATTTATGCTTGGTATTTCTAAAGCTGCTGCTCCAAAAGACCAGAGACCTGAGGATGGAAAAATTGGCTGCATGTAAAATTTTCCCGTGGCAGGCTGTGCTCTGATGTGATGTTAGTGCAAGAATTCCCGAAGAAAGCCAGACCTGAGTTAATATTCCAACACTCAGGTGTGAATATCCTGAAATCAGTAAAAGATACTGAGCTGAGTAGGAGGTCTCAGATTTGTGAAGGCTTCGGTGTAGCCTTTATGGAAGATAAAACAAAAGAGAGCAATTCACTGAGACTTTGCAGGTGATGGGGATGAAATTTAACTCTCTTGCTTCCTAAGCCAGTGACCTTCACCTGTGGCCACCTAAATCATTGGGCACACTGATTCTTGCCTGTGGCCATCATTTTAAAAAGGATAACAGAGACTGACACAGAAAAAACCTGTCACTGATTGCATTCCACATCTTCAGGTGTGAGAGGACTCCCAGCCATGCTCTTCCTGACACCAAGGCTTTGCTAACTTTTTCAATTTAAGGCAGCAATTAAAAAATCCATAAACAAGCAGGGTCACATCTCATAAACAGTTGAAAGGCTGCAATGGAAATTACAGATTTAACTACTGCTCCTGCTCCATGGATCAGAATATCAATTGAGGCACGGAGATGAGCTCTGGAAACTTCCCAAGCTTCACTCAGTGCAGCTCAACATCAGGGACTGGAAGTCATGGTTCAGATTCCTTAAAATGTTGGGCTGTTTGCTGTACAAGATACAGATCTGTATGAAAAATCATAATTAGATGCTAATTTAAGTGACTAAGGAGCTGGAAATTTTGAAGTTATAGAAATTTCTTGACTATTCCTGCTTTGCCTCACTGTTACATACTTTAAGGGTTTATTTGCAGGTAAAAATATGAGACTACCCATGATGGATCAGGCTAAACTCTCCTTTATCCCAGGATGTCTTTGGTAGAATCCACAGGGAAGGTTATAAAACCAGACCTGGGTTACAGTGATGCTTTTCTACAATAATTTCACAATGTATTTGCTAATTGCTGATTTATCATCCTGAATTCACTCCCATTTTACACCTGATACTGGTAGAAACAAGACACAGGGATCCCAAGGACATGTTACCTGCAGAAATGTTTTTCCGTTCTTCAGTTTCTCAACACTTTGACTCCAAAACATACAAAATACCTGATGCAATGGGCTCCATTCTCATATAAACTGGAATAAATTGCCATAATTGATACAGTTTCAGTGTGAAGTCACTGTAATAGCAGCAATACAAAAACTGAGCTGTAGGACAAGATGTCCTAAATGGATCTCTGAGTAAATCTGGAGCAATTCTGGGGACTGGAGTTCCCAGCTCTGCTTGCTGTATCTCTGAATCTCTGTTTCTGCTAAACTCAAATTAAGCCTTTCTGTTGCACTCTATTGGTCTCTCTCCTGTTTGCTTTAGGTTGAGAAGCTGCATTTTCTGAAGGGATGAGGAGGAGAGACTCTGGCTCCTTTCTGGATTTTTTGCCAGCCCCCCCAAATTTGGTGCTTCAGCCTGGTCTCAAGCACAGCTCAGTCACTGAACTTTGAGTCACCCCAGGGATTAAACAGATCCTGGCTCCTTGCACAAATGACTTGGCCACTGATAATCTTCTGTTTCCATGGTTCACACTCTGTCAGAGCACTTCAGTTCTGGTTTGGAGTGCAGCCTTGCCAGGAAAAAAACCCTTGGTCAGAGAAGCCTTTCCCAGGAGTATTTGAAGAGGCATTTGAGGATTTTAGGAGATTCTCCATAGCTGGAGTTGGAAGTGCAGGTTTCCATCTTCCCTGTGCCTGTCCCACTCACACCCCATGATTTGTGTGTGGTCAGAGCCCTCCTGGGGCTTTCTCAGAGTCACTAAATCCTTCTGCTCTGGGTATTTGGGAAGCAGCACTCAGAGCTGTGCTGGATCCCCTCCCATCACATCCCTGTGTGGAGGATTCCATGGAATTTTGATGGAACAGTGTCACTGCTATATCTGCAGAAACACCAGCTGAGTTTTTCAGTGGCCATGTGCTGCACTGAGAACTCTGTACAATATCAAACACTTCCATGGCACAATTTATTTTGTGCAATGCTATGGAGTTGAACTCAGCTATGATAGTTTCTGTGATCAACCACAAATCAGTGGTGATTGATTCTGGAATGTCCTCTAATTAGGGCATAGGAGCCCTGCAAAAATATCCAAAATATTGCCTGCATAGATGTCCTGAAGACTGATGTGCAAAAGGCAAATTCTAATGCGACAGGAGCTTTTTATTTTGAATAGATCTGAATTCAGAAGCAAGTATTTTTCCTAGTCTTTGAGACCAGTGGGACCCCAGCAAAAAAATTATGCTTGTCAGAGGGTTTGGCTCAGGAATTTATCATGAGTTTTCATCTCTTGCAAAGCTTCAAGGATTAAACCAGACAAATTCATCCATTATGAGGATGAAAATCAAAGCTTTTCAATGCTTTTCATGGTTAACTAATCAACAAAAGCCAGCATGGAAGGACCCAAATGCCCTGATCACCTGTGGTGCAAGTACTTGTTGGAGGTGGAGGACATTTGGGGTCAAATTGCTGCTTCCCCCAGTGAAGTCCAGCTGCCAACATCTGGGCCCCACATTGGAGATGGATGTCTGTGCTGCCAGCTCATGACACCAGGACTGTGACTTGTCACTGTCTCCTGGTGGGACTCAGTAAATTTCTGTATAATTCTGTAATTACTGGCCACAGAAATTCACTGAGGAGCCCAGTGGTTATGGCACCCAGCTGGGATATCAGAAACCCAGATTGAGTTCTGCTAAATGAGGCAAAAAATGGGTTTGAACAAGGGGTTCCAATGTCCTAAATAAGTGACCCCATATTAGTCCATTTGCTGATCGCATTGGTTTGGTCAGAAATCCCTTTATCCTTCCCTGATCCAGCTTATTTCAAGTTTTGTTGTGAGCGACGTGCTTTGGGGAATAAATAAGCTTTAGATCAAGGAATTGGCTTTTTCCTGCTGGAAAATATTCCACCTCTGCAGTCAGCAGATGTATTTCCCAGGGCTTGAAGAGTGCAGGTTACTGAAGGTACTGGATATGAATAGGCAGCTCTTTTTTTTTCACCTGAAATTTCACCTACAGAGTGGGTGATGCTCATTAGCTGCATTTTGCCTCTCCTAAGAATTCCCAACCTATTAATAACCCTCCTGGAGATAAAATCTCTGCAGAGTCTGCATTCAGGCAGTCAGCACTGGAGTGATTGCTTCTTTTCATGTTTACTAATCCTGAGATGTGTGAAGTGTCCTCAGAGTCCTGTCCCTGCATTTCTCCTCCTCTCCTTTCCTCTGTCTCCTCCCCTGGGATGTTGCAAATTCCCTGCTGGACCCCTGATGTCTCAAGATGTGGAGCTGCTCTCAGAGCTCCCTGTCATGGTGTGGGCACCAGGGAGGTGACGTTGGCTGTGCCAGCTTGACTCTGCACAGCCAGGATGTTCTCCATCCTTTGCTGTTTAATTGCTGCTCATTTTGCTGGTTGATGCTGGTGTGAAGTGAAACTTTGGCCAGTTTGAACTTGCCTGAAATGAAAGCAGGAGGCGACGTCAGCCCTGAAACTGCCTTAGCTCAGTTCCTTCAAGGAGTGGTTCCATCTTACAGGCTGCTTTCTCTGGGATCATCTCCAAGCTGAGCCTCCTTTGGTCTGGGGTGGGCTCCAGCCCAGCTCTACTCCCATTTTCCCACATCAGCTCCAGTGGCATTTTGGGCATCCAAATTTCCCCAGGTGTGCCAAGCACGGATCAGGCTTTGAACAAAATGCTGGCATCAGGTGCCGTGGGTGATGAAACATTGATCCATTAACCATTTATCCTGTATTTAAGCCCAGCTAGAGCAGCCCTGGTACAGCCCCGTGAGCTTTGTGCCAAGCCTATCCCTGCACCCCGAGCCTGCAGGAATCCAGGCTCATCTTCCATGCCTGAGGAGGCAACAGAGGCTTCACACCAGCCTTCCTCTGATCCTGGAGCTGGAGGAGAGCTGGGACAGCTCCAGGCAGGAGCCTGATGTCTGTCCTCACCTGCAGGGACTTGCAGTGAGTCCTTAGGAACATGTTTTATTCAAGGCTTCCAGAACATTCCACACTCCCAGGCTGGTTTCTGATCTCTTACTGATGCCTTCCCTAGAGCAGAGGCTGGGCAGAGTCACAGAATAAAGCAGGGATTTATTCAAGGATCTCCTCCATGGATCCACCCTGGGCAGCACCAGAGCCCAGCCAGGGCTGCACCCAAATGAACCAAAATGGCACAAAATGAACCCAAGATGAACCAAAATGGTCCCAAAATGAACCCAAGATGAACCAAAATGGTCCCAAAATGCACAAGTGCTCCCGGGGGCTCTCCCTGGGATCAGTTCTGCTCCATTGGCACCTTGGAGTTCATTGTCCCATTCCAGCTCCAGCCCATCAGTCCCATCCTGCTGGTTTTTCTCTCTCCAGCCCACGGTGTTTGTGCTCCTGGCTGAGGTTTGGATCATTTGTCCTTGGTGCCCAGCTGGAGCAGGAATTGTTTTGTGTCCCTGCTCTGTGCACAGAGCTCAGCATTCCCTGATATAAATCCCAGACTCACACACTAAAGCAGCAGAGAACCTGAAAAATATAAAAGCTCAAACCTGAGGCATCACTGGGAGCAGCTGGGGCCCCACCAGTGCACAGCCCTTGGTGCCAGGCTTGTCCTTAGGGACCCTTTGGCCTTGAGTGGTCCCTTCCAGACAGCACAAAGGAGCTAAAGGAAGTGTTTGAAAAGAATTGTGTTAAAATAAAGCCAAAGCAAAGCGCAGGACATCACAAACAAGTGTTAAACATCCCCATTCAGTGCCTGCCTTTGGATAGGATGCTCCAAGAAATTTGTGAATGGATTCCTATTCTGAGTGTTGCAGAATGCAGGGATTTCCTACTCTGAGTAAAACTCAACATTATTCTTTGCCTCTGTGTAAATTAAAATCAGTATTAAAGATAGAGAATGCAAAGGATGAAGTAAAAGTAAATATTTTATTAAAACTGTATCAAGGGGAAAGCAAAAGGCAAAATTTCAAAAGGTACCAATAATAGAGGAAACATCTTTGCTTCTTTGTGCAGGTGTACCAAAATTCCCCAAAGAAAAAATTGAGCCTCTGGATGTGGAGCATGGGGATTCTGTGATCCTGCACTGCAACCCCCCAAAAGGCATCCCACCTTTGCATATTTACTGGATGAATATTGGTGAGTAAAGGGTTTTTGCACAATTCATACAAGGGGGCTCAAAGTATTTGTCTTTCAGAGCAGCTTCATTGCAGATTTGCCATGGACAGGAATTGTAATTGTGCAAGTGCTTTGGAGAAATATCGGAATATTGAAGAACAAATTTTAAAAATGGAGGGCGGAGATCTGGTTTGACATGATCCAAAGTTAAATATTTGAGTGCATTGACACAGCATCTCATTAAATATGATACCAAATAATTTATATATTGCTGAGTCTGTCAGTGATGAAGAGTCCTACATTTAAAGGAGAGAGGATAGCACGTGTCAATATATTATCATCACAGTTTTCCTCTTTTCATAAATTGATGATTGATTTATGATACTAAGGGAAAAATAATCCATCAGGTTTATATAATTAGCTCCTGGTGGGTTTCTGTCCTGTTAGTCTGCAGCATTTGGTTTCTGCAGGAATTTCTGGCTTTCAGGGAAGCAAAATAACTCTGTTTTTAATTATCAAGTTTTCCTTACCAGTTATATAGGTATAAATTATTAGATAGATATAGATATAGATTATATAGATATAGATGATATAGATATAGATATAGATTAGATATAGATATAGATATAGATATAGATATAGATATAGATATAGATATAGATAGATATAGATATAGATATAGATATAGATATAGATATAGATATAGATATAGATATAGATAGATATAGATATAGATATAGATATAGATAGATATAATTAAATATTTTTAATCTCTTGTATACTGAATATTGATTACATAACCCATATGTTCTGCTGGATTTTCTGCCTCTCTTGCTTCAGAGTTTCATTCTCTGTATCTGGAAGGAAGCACATGAGCAGAACATTTGGTGAAACAGCCCCTGTGTTGTTCCCACCTCACAATTCCTTTTCCTTGCCAGATTTGCAGCACATCCCACAGGATGAGAGGGTCTCCATGAGCCTGAAGGGAGATCTCTACTTTGCCAACGTGGAGGAGAGTGACAGCAGGAGTGACTACTGCTGCTTTGCAGCCTTCCCGAGGCTCAGGACCATCGTGCAGAAGATGCCGATGACGCTGAAGGTTTCCCGCTGTGAGTGTGGGGCTGAGCTCCTGCTTTGCTGCTGCTTTCTGAGCTCCCCAGGCAGCAGGGCGTGCAGATGTGTGTGCCCTGGCTCTCTCAACAAAGGGCACCTTGCTGAGTTTATTTCCTGCATTATTAACCTCATTCCTGGGGCTAAATTCCATTGAGAAAAGCTTCTTGCTCTAGCCTGTGTTCTAGGCAGCCATCCCATGGCATCAGTTTCTCCTGTCCCATCTGGGTCACTGTTGGGGTCTCAATGCTGGGCTGACCCCAAGAGTGTAAAAGTCCTTGTTCCCCAGCCTGTGCAGCCAAAGAAGAAGTCTGGAATGCTTAAGGTTGAATTTTCAAATCTATAACATTCTTTCTCTGACCTGCTGAGGTCCATCTAGTAAAGAAGCCATGGCAGTTTGCCTGCCCTGCTGGGCAGCGTCTACATTTTATATCCAAAATTACGTTTATTATATTTACAATAATGTGCCAATAACTATCACCTATGTCAGACGGTGTGTCTCTACCTTAAACCAAGAGAAAAGTGTCACCATCACACCAAGACATGGAGGACAAGAAAAAGAAGGTCAGGACACGCCCAAATCCCTCCATCTTGTACCCCTGAATCACATCCTAAAAACTCCAAAATTCTACTTTTTTCACCTGTGTCAGTTCACCTATTACACTACTCAAACCCTTGTGGCTTGTAATTCCTCACACAGAGTTGGCAGCTTTTTCCACGGGCTAAAATCAAAGCCACAGGTGTTTTTGAGTTTGTGCCAAGGTCTCTGAGCCCCTGCCAGGGTCTGGAGCCAGCCAGGGCAGCCAGAGGGATGTGCTGGACTCCAACAGGTCACCAGGAACTGCTGCCTTGGGATGGCTGCCTAGAACAGAGGCTGGACAAGATTGAGAGAATAAAATGGGTATTTATTAAAGGCACACCTTGGGCAGTCAGAAGCCACACCTAATCTGGACAATCATGAGTGTTTCAGACAATTATAGGTTTGGTCCACTTACATATCGGGGATTAATCCTCCAATTACAGCTTCAGCTAATGAAGCAATTTACCCTAGATTTGCCCCCCAGCTTCGCTGTTGTTTCCATCTCTCTGGCCTGAGGCAGTGAGGTGTCCTCGATTCCCAGGGCTGGAGAGGAATTGTTGTGTCTGCCCAAAATGTGAAGACAGAAGCTGACACTGAATATGATGAATAGAACTAAAGCAGTACAGGATCTGAAAAATAGAAAAGTTGAAGTCCTGAGGCGTCACTGTCAGACCCCAAAAGTGCCCTGTCCTTCCTCCTGCTGTCCCCACAGTGAAAGCCAAGGATGCATGAGGGAAATCTGCTGCTCTTGAGTCCAGCAGGTCCCCCAGCAATGGGATTTGGCTGGGTTTTGAGAACTTTGTGGCTGCCTCTTCCCTGGGCAAGGCCTGCATTGGTCCAGCCTCAGCAGTGAGGTTGGAAGGATGATGTTTTCCAGGTTTTTCCAGGCAGCCTGGAGCATCAGAAACACAAGAGGTGTTTCCAGTTCCTCGATGAAATTATGTGTGGGGAATGTAAGGTTTCAGTTGTTTGTTAAAATCTTTGTTCTTTTGGGCCTACAAAGCCCAGAAAGCCAAGCAGAATTTTGTGTTCATGAATGAAACCCTCATGTTTAATATGTGATTTTTGAGAGTTTTCTTGCTGGGATCAAAAGATAAAGGATTAATAGCGGCATTGTGTGTTTAATGCTTGCTTAGACTGTATCTTGGAGTAATAATTGTGAGAAAAACATCCAAATTAAATGTTGCTCTCCATGGCTTTTCAAATGGGTTCAGTCCCCCACACATGCACACAGAGATTAGAGAAAAACGAGATGGGTTTTGGCTGCTGGTAGCCCTGGAAGTGGCCCAAAAACCCACTTCAGTGTGTCCATCTTGTCATCAAAGCCACAGGACTTGGGCCAGGAAAAGATGAGAGGCATGAACTGAACGGGTTCTGTACACTCGGCTGGACATGGCCCACTCCACTCTGTGCCAAGTGCCTGGTGTGGGACTGCATTAAAAATAAACAGAACAAAAATAAGCAATAAGAATCAAGAGAATGGATAACATTTCTCTTTGTGGATATTTAGTGATTTTTATTATTATAGATAGCAAGGATGAAATGCTGATTATATCACCCATGAAGTATTTTTCAGAATAACACAAATTTTTGGAGCATTTTCATTGTATTTTCAAAACTTTGTTGCTCATCTGTTGCATTCTTTTATATTTTTCATTCTTTCTTTCTTTTGGGGCAGAAATTGGGGGGTGGGGAGTGGCATGATTTTGTTTTGGTTGATTTATGGTTTCTTTTGATTCTGTCTCAACCCTGCATGTTTGTTTGGTTGTCATTTTTATTTATTTCAGTAAAGCATGCTAATGACTCAGGCTCACCTAACGCTGCTGTTACCAAGGGTGAGTTGAACACATCTGTTTTTAGCCTTTGAACTGAGACTCCACCAGCTGAGGTGAAATGGGAGCTGCTCAAAAACACATCACAAAAGCCTCTTGAATGTGATGGGATGGATTTAAGCAGTCCGGGGAGCACAATTGGCTCATCTTGTAGTTTCTGAGAGCAATCTGCAGGGTTTTTAATGAAAAAGGCAGTTTTTTTACTCGAGAAAGGAGCTTTGTAAGGGAGTGGAAGTGAGGAGATTGATGTCCTGGGTTTCCCGTGTTATCAATTCAGAGCAGGAGCCAGAGCTGGATGCTCCAAATCTTTTTTCTGGCAGTGAAGAGAACTCAGAGATGAGACAGGCAAGGTTTGACACCATGAATTCATGTCCCAGGCGTCACCCTGGGGCTGCATTGCTGCAGGATGAGTTCAGGGTGGATTTATGGAGTTTGGGTCCCTGTGTTGGCTGTCCCCATCACCTCGCTGTAGATGGGAGGTGGCTGTGTCTCTGTGGTGCCCTGTGTGTCACCAGCAGAGGTGACACTTCAGAACAGCCCTTCTCATCCTGTGCATTCCCATCTCCCACTGCTTTGCCTGCCCTTCTCTGTGGAGCAGATCCTGAAAATATCCTGAAGGCAGCAGGTGCCTATTCCTGCAATTCTCCACCTGCTTCCTTTTGTTTCAAATCTATGAAATTTTGACTCTGTAGCTCTTCACTCTTCATTTCTATGCCTTTTAAGAGCCCTTTTTTTTTTTTTAATGCCCAATTTTAACCTCCTCTAGGAGATTTTTTTTTTGCCAGACAAGCACTGAGGTTTCTGAAAAGGAGGTTATCCTGTTATCCTGGAGTGCTTTGGGATGGATAACTCGGAGCACTCATCACTCCCTGACTTTGCCCGTGGTGCTGAGCCCTGGGAGCAGCACAGGCAGGGCTGGTGCACCGTGGCTGTCACTCCAGAAGCATTTTTTCCCTCCCAGGGATGTCTGAACTCGTGCTGGGAAGGGGCCCTGGCAGCCTTTGGCAGCAGGAGGTGGAGGGCAGATGGGAAATGTGTGAGTGTGTCCAGAGGCACCAACGTGTCCTGCTGCAGCTCCGAGCACTTGTGACACAGATCTGCAGAGATGCAAAGCAAGGGGATATTAAAATTAAAAATGAGAAAATGCTTCAGGAGATCTATGTGGTCTTTTACCAAATCATCCGTAACTGGCTATTTTTTTAAAGAAGTAGCACCATTTGGGGACTGATTCATTAGTGTGCTAATTGTTATGATAGTGATAACTGGGCAGCCACTGAACCCTGCATTTTTCATCCTAAAACCCTTGTTTGGCAGGCTGGAACAAATGGGCTGTTGGAATCAAATGCAGGTCAATCTTGTTTTATTATTTTTACAGTCTTCCTTACAAATTGTATCTCCATTACTGTAGATTTAATAACTGGAAAAAAAACAAGAGGGACAATTCTGTGGGATGCTCAAGTCAGGAAAAGTGAGGATTCACCTGAGGTTTACAAGGTGATGGAGCCAGTGCAGGAGAAAGGAGCTAAGAAAGGAGAAGTGAACCTAAAGATCAGGAATTGAGAGGATCTGTCTGTCTGAGGGGTGATAGGAAGGGCCAGCGCTTGGAAAACTGGATATAAAACTGTAGGAAAAGGAGTTTCCCAGCATTGCTGCCTGTTGATATCTCTGTACCTCCCTTCTGGCTGTTATCAGGGGAAATAAGGGCTCCTGGATTAGTCTCAGAGTGGATAAACAAAAAAGAAAGCACACAAATGGCTGTCAGAAACCTTCTGGCAGCAGTGATGTTTGTGGCATTATTGAAGAATATCTGAGATTTCTCACTTCACTTCTGTTTTATTTTATCTTGCAGCAAATTTTATCAAGGAAAGGAAGCCCAAACTGCTGATCCCTCCTGAATCTGCTGGCAGTAGCTCATCAGTCACTGTCATCAAGGGAGGTGTCCTGCTCCTCGAGTGTATTGCTGAAGGGCTGTGAGTAATGGAACTGCTGCACAAACTTAACCACCTTTGGAGGGACAAATGAGCAAAAAAAAAAGGGATATTATTACAAATTATGCAACAGTTTTAAATGCAACTCCTGTGCAGAGCTTGCTGTACTTGTAAAGCAGCACAGAGTGCAGGCAACAGTAGTGTGTTAGTTATTGCTGTAGCTTGTAAACAAGTAATTAAAACCACAGGGTGGTAAGTATGGAATTTTTTTTTTTTCTATTAAAAAAATTGAATTTTTTTCAGTAGTGCTACTTTTGAGATGTCAAGAAACTAAATAATATCAGCATCGGCTTCAATGCTTTTGTTCACAACCCATAATGTTTGTTTGTTTGTTTTTTTTTCTGGTTTTGCCAATTCAGTTTTGCTTCAGTGCTCAAAATTTAAGATTTTCCAGGTGCAAGATCTCAGTTTATTTTATAAAACAAAGCTCCTGAGTGATGTTACACAAGACATCCTTTAAGGAAAGTTGGGCCATTGAGGGGAAATCATCAATCTCAGTCACAGCAGGAGGTGCTGGCTTGGGTGTGAATGTGACCCTGGCTGGTTTTGGTATCCATTCCCCAGCACCCAGAATTTCCATAAAGGATCTTCATTCCACGGTGTCCTCACAAAGGACAGGATATTGAGGAGCAAATCCATGGCTGTGTAGGAATAGAGTGAACCAGTATCAGCTGTATTAGTGTGATCCTGATCAATCCAGCAGCAAAGGGCAAACCTCAAACCTTGGGCACTTCCAGGGATGCAGGGGCAGCCCCAGCTTGTCTGGGCACCCTGTGCCAGGCCTGCCCACCCTCACAGGGAGGAGTTTTTTCCTAAAAAACCTTCTAAATCCCCTCCAAACCTTCTCTCAGTTTGAAGCCATTCCCCTTTGTCCTGTCACTCCAAGATGTTTTAAATAATCTCTCTCTATCTTGCTGAATCCCTTCAGGTGGTAAAAGGATAATACAGGGAAGGGTTAAAATAGCTGCTTTATGATGAGAAATAAGGACAATTTTTATGGGAAATGAATTTGTAGAGAAAAGGTTTGTTGACAAAAGTTTGTTGAATTTGTTGACAAAAAGTTCATATACCATGTATTTGTATACAAATTTTGAGATAAGAAATGCTGATTTAAAAATATTTTAGAATAAGACAGACATTATTGAGAGAGATATGGAATTAGGAATAAGTTATAAAAGGTGCTTTTGTAAAAGAGACTAAATATTTTAGATAAATAGAACTATGAAAATGTATTGTAGTAGGACCTATGAAGGGTAATTCTTGTCTCAGGGCTGCTGCTCCAGCTCACTCAGCCATGAGCCCTGCTTTGCTCTTCCAGTTCCCCAGTTTGTCCCATGTGCCTGTCACTGCAAAAGTCGAGCTGCCACCAGAGAAACAGAATCTGTGCACCCACTAAATCCCCAGGGAAAGCAGAGCCCCTTCTGGTTTGTTTGGGACAGAGCTTTGTGCAGAGCAGAGCTTGGAATCACCAACTCCTCGTGCTGGCCGTGGAGCTGCAGACTCTGCAGACACCGAGATAATTCCTATTAAAGGCTCTGCAATTATATTCCCTCCATAAAATTCCAAAGTCAGGATATTTATCTGCCTGCACATGTTTAGGGCATTTTGTTTTTCCATATGGGCTTGAAAGGGCATTGCTGGTGGAAGCTGGCATGGAGTTGAGTTGGCATTCCTGAAAGGAGGTGAATTACTTGTCTCAGTTGGATTCGCTCCAGGTATCTGCAGTGAGTTTTGCTTCCCTCTTGCAACATTTCCTTGTCTAATTCACTCCCCACCAAGCGAATCTGCCAGCCCACAAACCTCCCCAAAGCCACAACTCTGATTTCAGAGGGTTTTCAAGGGGTTTTAATAGGGAAATCACCTTGGGAATACTCAAATATGAATTTCGATGTGCAACCATGAATATCAGATACAAGAAGGGAAAGCCAGAAAAGTCTTTCTCTCCCTTCAGAAAAAGGTAAGAAAGAAATATTTTTGCTTCACTCAAAAATTCCCAGAAAACTCTTTAAAATATTAATTTTTTGAACAAAAAGGGTTTTTTTTTAAGCAATCACTTTTGAAAGAACACAAAGTAGTAAAGTAGTTTTTTGTTTTATCACCAAGCACATCTTTTCATTGAAATCCTTCAAAAATGCAACTTTTAGAATAGACATTCTTTTTCTTTGTTAAAATTCCTATTTTCAGCAGAAAAGCATTCAGCTTTGCCTACATCTTTGCCAATCCATCCTGCCAAATGTCCACAGACCATGGAAGTGGATTTCAAGGAACTCAGATCAGGGGCACCAGACTGCAAAATAGGGAATTAGGGACATTTCCAGCCTGTCATTTTTTTAAAGATTTATACCCTGAGCAGTGGCAGTGGCGGGAGGGCATGGCCTCAGGGCTGGCTTTGGGACAAGAGTAGGATTTGGGAGGGGATAATGGGATATTTGCAGAGCTGGTGGAACACCAGAATTGTTGGGCACCTGGGGTTTTGTGTCCCCTGCCTGGGCGTGGAGCCACGGGGACAGATGGGCACGGGAGGAGGCGGCTCTGGCGCGGCGGCCGCGTGTCCTGCGCGGTGTCAGGGTCACCAACACGTCTGTCCCCAGCTCTCTGTCACCTCTGGCTCTTTCTAGCGGTGTGAAGAGCATCTCAGCCACCTCCCAAGTGGCACTGCAATGGAGGCTGGCCCTCCTGGCTGTCCCCAGGTGCCCTTTTGGGGAGGGAATGAGCTCCAGCCGCATCCCCGCTGTCCATGCCAAGGCACATCCAAGGAATGCAGCTTTGCCCTGGTGGAAATCCCACTCACAGGGGTTGTGCAGAACCAGGAGCAGCAGAGCAGCTGTATAGCATAACCTTTAGGTAGCCCCAGATTTTCAAAGCTTTAAAAGCTCAAAATGCTCCAAAAGCACCTCCCAAACCCTGGGTGTGAACAGCAGCTCTGCCACGTGAAGCATCACAGCAGCTTCTTGCATTCAACTCAAAATCTTCTTTATTTTTTCCTTTGTTCTCAGCCCAACTCCTCATCTCAGCTGGGTCAAGGTCACGGGAAATATGCCCAAGGATGAGCCAGAGACAGAGAATTTTGGGAAGATGCTGAAGATTGACCAAGTGACAGCAGCTGATGAGGGGACGTACCAGTGCACAGCCAGCAACCCCATGGGCAGGGCCAGGCACGAGTTCCACGTGCGTGTGGAAGGTGCTCATACTCTTTACTAAAATATTTGTTTGGGGACTAAAACGTGGGAAAAGGGAAGTGAAGGAGGCTCTTTGTGAATATGATTCAAGAAACTCCACCAATTGGATTTGGGAAGGCTTACACAAATTAAATTAGTAAACTAAAGTCCAAAACAACAGCAACAAAAATGTAAATAATGCTTTTTGGCTTTTTCCCCCTGAACCATGAAGGCCTTAAAAAAGCAGGGAACAATATAAATATGTGAGCAGGTTCAATACTCTAAAGATGGGAGGGAGTCAAGCACAGATGTTGATGAAATGTCTTGTACTAAGCTGAAGGTCAGAAGAAAGATCTTATTATTCTTTTGGCTCTTAAAAACTGTGAAAATGGCTACACTGGGCTGGATCAGAGGGTCATTTAGCTCAAATCCCTTTCTTTGTTTTCCACCAAAAGTGGGCTTTTAGGGAGGGCTGTGAAAATTCAGTGAGCAGACAAGGTGCCACTCCTTGCCTCCTTCACCTGTTCCTTTGCTCTGATTTTTGTATAGGCACAACCTGATCTGGGAGTGTTTTCTGGAATCCCTGAAAAGTGTCATAAAACCTGTGAAACAAAGTAAAAGAGATGCTTTCTACTGTTTTTTAGCAGTTAAAAAAATGGAAATGTGATCCTTTTTGTCACCTCACCCAAGGCTTCTGTTTCCCTTCTCCTCCTGCCCAAACCCCCAGGTGTGCATCAGGTGGAGATGCCCTTTCCCAGGAGCCAGCAGAGCTCTGGGGAATCATTGCAGAGCCAAGAACTCCCCCTGCCACTTTCCCTGCCTATAAATAGCTCCAAACTGAGAATCCTGCGGCCCAGCTGGAAAACTTGCTGAAAACATTTGCCTGATGAAAAATTCTCCAACCTCCGCTCTGCACTTAAAATAAAAAATAAATCCCTGGCAGTTTTACCCTGGTAGAACCTTCCAAGTGCTTCATTTCCATCAGGGCTCCTCATCCCTCTGTGGACGCCACATTTCTGATGGGAGAAAAGCACTTTGGGCTCCCTGCTCTGTGTTTGCTCAGCAGCTGAGGAAAGTAAAGTATTTTCTCCCAGTGGCTGCTGAGTCCTCTCCATTCCCTGAACCCAACCTTGTCCCTTGCTGGGAGTGTGGCAGAGGCATGGCAAGTTCTCAGCTGTGGTGGAGGGGAAGTGCTGACTCCTAGAAATCTTTCCAGATGGTTTGGAGCCTCTCTGCTGTAGCAGAATATTTTAACAATCTGGCTATGATTTTCTCGTCTGCGAAAATCGATTTCCTTCAAAGAAATTGCAGGAGCTGCAAAAACTAAAATACCAGAGAAATAGCATTAATTTTGCAGTTTAGAATATTGACCTTCTCCTCCCACAGTTTTCAGAGGAAGGAAAACTTCCTGGCAAATTGTTATTCCTGCTTATTAATAAACAAGAACTTAGAAAAAGTGAAAAAGCAGGAAAAAATCCCACTCCAGCCATTGCAACGTAAAAAAATCTTTTTTCCAATTGCTATTAAATCCATTTTCCATGTGTGTAACTAAAGGTGGCTCCTTTAGCAGCAGGGATTCTTCCTATTAGGAGTCACCTCACATCCAAGGTATCAAGGTAAACCTGAGCCCAAAGCTTGCTGTCTTCTGCAATTCCTGAGCAGCAAATGTCGCTGCCGTTAATCAGAGAGGGACACGTTCATCATTCCTGCAGCAGCTCCTGTGAGCACACACAAGGGCACATCCTGAGCATTAATTTCAGGAGGCTTCAGGGAGCTCGTGCTGCTGTTGGGCTCCTCACACCTGACAGGTTCCTCTCACAGGATGAACGCAGGGAGAAGAAAATTAAAAATGGAAGAAAAATTATCTTTTTTTTTAACCTCCAGCCATCCTCAGTGGTGTGCTGGGGGGTAAATCAGGATTTTTCTGTCACTGTGCCATGTTTTCTGTTCTACTTTCTGGTAGTTGAGGACCTCAAACCAACACCCCATCCTTTTAAATACCAGTTTTAATGGTATTTGCATGCAGCCCACTTCCTAATCCTGCCAAGTCCGAGGGCAAAGATTCAGGCAATCATTACCAAACATATGAAAATATTCAGCAAGCAAATTGCTTGACTGTTTGAGCATTTTAATCTCTCTTTGCAAGGGAAGGTGTAGCCTGGAATACCTGAGCAGACACAAAAACCCCATTGTTGTTATTAAAATGAGAGAGAATTATTTTTTCAAAAAATAGCAAAGCAAGCCTACAAATTGTTTTGACTTCAAGTGTTTATTTGGTTGTTGTCTGTAGTTCACCAAACCTGAAAGAAAATTTAAACATAACCTCCAGATCTTGCAGGATCATAATGATCTAAAGTTACTTTGATCTCGACTGAGGCTCCTAGGTGGGGTTTAACAGAAATAATTGTTACAATATAATGATTAATTATAGTAATAATGTAATAGCTAAGGGCTTTGCAGTTATGTCTCGTAATACTTTTATTACTCATCCAGAGCAAAAGAAAAGAGATTAAATTAATGGGAAGCAGAAGCAGAACTGGGTGTTTTAATCAGGCTCATGCTTTCTGTTTCACTGGAAAATTGCTCCAAGAGGGATGCAGAGCCCAAGGTGGCAACAGCAGCTGCTGCTGGCCCTGGGGTGGGATGGATTCCCAGCCTTTGGGAGGAAAACTTGGAGAGAACTTGACAAATTGGGATAAAAAGGATGGCTTCAGTAAGCACAAGCACAGAGCAGTTCACAGCAGGCAGCACTGGTTGGCCTCATCAGCACAGGCTGGGAAATGCCTCCTTGGGTTTATCCACTGGATGTTAAGAGGTGCACCTCTGGGAAGTGTTAGTCTGGCAGAAAAGGCAAAAATCATCCTGGAAAATAGAAGGGAAAGTGTTGTTGTAAGAGGCTGCTGAGAACTGAGAAGGTCTCACCTCAAGTAAGCAGATTTACAACTTCACCTTCTGCAGGAAAGGTCAGGAGAAGGTGGTAGAGGTGGTCACAAGGCTCAAAATCATGGCATTTGGTTTAATAAATGCAGGTATCTTTAATTTAGGAGAAATTACATCTGGGGAATGCACAACAGCTTTCAGAGGAATGGAAGATTCTCTACCAAGTTCACTGGGGGTGATGGAAGCCAGGGGAGAGTTAAACTGCAGCAAGGCAGAAGCTGATTAGATATCCCAAAATTGTTCTGCTCATGGGGAAAACACAGTTGGAGAGGCTGAGGGGAAGGTTTGGATCCTTTCTGAGTATTTTAGCTGCAGATGATCCTGCTCTGCTGGGGATGCCCATTTTTGATCCCTTTCATTTCTGGTTCTGTCAGTATTTCCCATAAGGATATTAATCAGTCGATAACTCTTACCAGGAAGAATAAATGAGGAAATATTTGCCACTCCAGATTAACTATTTGATTATCCAACCCCTGGATTTTGTAGCTGCTAAAAATTTGTAAACATTTTGTTATAACTTGTATATTTTAAGCAGTGTAGCACATCTGCCACGTGGAAAAGAGGTTCTTCAGCCTTTCTGTGAAATTGCATTTCACACCTGGCAAAATCTTATTGCCTCTGACTTCACAGCCTCTTCACTTCCTTGGAGCACCCATAGCAATTCCAGTGCTGAGAAAGGAGAGCAGAGACATCAAATATCAGCTCAGAGCTCCAGAGTTTGGGCACAGGTGGAGATAGGAAGAGATCCTTCAGGTGGTTTTTATTCAGCCTGTGCCGGGTGTCTCCAAACTGAGGAAATATCCATCTCAGTTTGTGACAGATTTAGAGGAAAAATTCCAAACCAGCAATTTAATCAGGACTGCTACACTTCTTTGATTCATCTTTTCCTGATGAAACCATGGTTTATATGAAAGAGAAGGAAAAAGATCTGCAAACCCAAAATATTCTGGTGTTTGCAGAGTTTTTCCCTGGAGCCAAATATCAGGAAGCTTAACAGATGTGGTCATGTCACTGTGGGATGGGAAGAAGCACTGAGTGAGGATGTTGGTAGAAAAATCCCTGCTGTGTGAAGGAAGCAGGATGATTTTATCATTTTAAATAAGTTTTAGTGGTTTGAATTTGGCTTTAGTCCTTATATGTTAATTAAACCATTCCTGGGTGCTCTCCTGTGGGAATGCTGGTCTGGGTGTGGAAATGCACACCACTTTAGGCGTGTTTTTTTTTTTAAATATCTGTGTGAATATAAGCAGTGGTGTTTTGCTTTAGCATATCTCGCTGATAGCATCTGTTGCTGTATTAGCAGGCAGCAGCTCCATTAATCTTCAAAGCATTTTATGAGCATTAACTAATGAATCCTCAGGTTTTCCCTACATTAGCTCACCTCTTTAATAGGGAAAGAGGCCCCATGATCTTCCCAGCACTTGCAGAAGAGGCAGTGGCAGGTCTGGTGTTAAAATCTCTAAGTTTGGTGCCTTTCAAGGGGAAATGATGAATTCAAAGCTGTGTTTTGGGTTGAGGCTGCCCACTGGGAGCTCAGGGACCAGCGTTCAGTCAGAATTAAGCATTTATGAGATGAATTCCCTTTTTCTCCCCTTCATTTCCCTTCCCTCATTATGGAGGTCTGTTCCACACGAGGTTTGGGTGCCTGATGCTCAGGGGCTGCTCTGCAGAGCAGAGTTTTCCCAGAGCTCCCCTGGAACAGCTGGGAAAGGAGAGCACGGGGATGCAGCAGCGCATGGCTGCTCCTCTACCACCACCCTGTGGCATCCCCAGCGATGGGAGAATGTTTTACTATTCCTAAATGTGTTGGGGATCAGTCTCTGGTCTGAATACACCACGGGGAAACAGAAAATCAAGGTGATGGTGCATTTCCTCAGCACAAGGGAGAGGGGTAGGTGGACCAGAGGTGGATCAGTGCTGTCCTGGAGCTCTGTCAGCTCCCAGGGAAGGTGATGGGAGCCACTTGCTCGTGCCTGGAGAAGGGAATTCGAGCTGGATGGATATTCCCACCTTGTTTGTCTTGCTGCAATTGCCTTACCTTAAATCATAGCTCACAATCACATCTGAGGGTCCTGGTGGAAATGCTGACCCATTCCCTCCTTCCCAGCTTCTCCCTCCCCTGTCCATTCGTTTCCCACTTGGATGAAGGCTGCCCGTTCCCCCAGCCTGCCTGACACCCACCAGGACAGGACTGGCGTGTGCTGGTGCTAATTTTACCTTTCCTTTACATGGGAAATACAAGGAATCCAGCTCAGCTGCAGGATGGATGGGCTGTGAGCAGCTGCTGGGAAGTGTTGGTGGCGTTTGCCATCTCCTGGAGAATTCCAGCAACAGCAGAGGCACATGCTGGGCTGTGGCTGTGGTGCCTCAGGATTTCAGCTTCTCTATTTCCCATCTGTTTGTACTCCTGCAGTTCTTTAGTGTGTAACTCCAAACTCCACACACAGTGTGAGCTGCTGCTTCCCCATTTGGGGCAGACACAACAATTCCTCTCCAGGCCTGGCAGTCAAGGACCTCTCACTGCCTCAGGCCAGAGAGATGGGAACAAAAGTGAGTTGGGGGAGCAAACCTGGGGTCAGTGACTTCATTACCTGCAGCTGGAATTGGAAAATTAACCTCCAATATGCAAATGGACCGAACTTATAAAAATGTGAAAACTGTGACCCATCATCTATTTTTGGGTGTAGCCCTGGGACTGTCCTAAATGTACCTGAAGGCCCTGCAATAAATAGAACAACTTTTTATTCCCTTAATTCTGTCTGGCCTCTGTCCTTAGGTAGTCCCAAAAGGCATCAACTGATCCCTGCTGTGTCTCTTTCCCCAGAGCCTCCCCAGTGGCTGAAGAAGCCCGAAGGTGGGGTCTACAGCGTGGGGGCAAACCTGGTGCTGCTGTGCGAGGCCATCGGGAACCCCGAGCCCAGCATCCAGTGGAAGCTCAACGGGATGCCCATCGATGGTACGTGCAGAGCCAGGCTGCTCCTCCAGGCCCTGCCCAGGTGGGGTGTGCCTCTGTAGCACCCAGTTTGGGGGGACCCACAAGTCCTAACACGCTGAGTGATGTCTGGTGTGGCACCCCTTTAGATATGAATTGTTTATTTACTTAAATAAACTAATATTTAAATAGGATTCTTGAAGAGGGTGGTGGTGAACACTGCACATGTGGAGCTGTGGTACCTTTGAGGTGCTGCCCTGTAACTCTCCCATCTTTTGGGGATCTGGGACAGCTCAAGGGCTCCTTTGTGCTTCGGGATAAGCCCAGGTGGCTGGGGAGCACTGGTGTAGCAGTATTATTATTATCATTTCACAAAGTCTCTGAGGTGAATTTACTGGAATTTGGTGCTCTGGAGGTACATTCCTCAAGCCATGGGACTGCTGGCAAAGGCAGAGCCCTGGAACTCACCGGCTCTTTGCACAGTCTTGGTTGGATCCTCAAGATGTTCTTTCCTTTGGCTTCCGAGCAGTGAGGAGAGCCTGGGAGCTCTCCAGTCACGGTGTTCCTGAAACAATCTGGTGTTTTCCAGGCAGGACCTTCCGAGGGAGAATCTCCACCAGGGAGATCAGCCTGACCAACCTGCAGCTGCAGGACAGCGCCGTGTTCCAGTGCGAGGCCACCAACAAGCACGGCACCATCCTGGCCAGCGCCAACGTCAACGTCCTCAGTGAGTCCCCGTGTCCATTTCTCTTGGGGTTCTGATGGTCAGGGTGGCCCCAAGAGATCAAAAAGAATTTTTGGTTCCCTGGCCTGATGCAGCCAAAGAAGGAGCCTGGAATGCTCCAGTTGTGCTTTCAAGGTTGTTTATTTCTTCTCTCTGAACATTCTTTCTCTGACCTGCTGAGCTCTGGCTAGCAAGGAGGCCATGGCAGTCTGCTGTGAGCCTTGGGCAGCTCCCACCTTATAGACTCAAAACTAGATGTCTGTGTTTGCAATTTATTACCAATTTCCATCATCTATGTTAGACTGTGAATCTCTACCTTAAACCAATAAAAAAGTGCCACCATCACACCAAGACATGGAGGACAAGACAAAGGGAAAGAAGGCCAAGACACACCCAAATCCCTCCATCTTGTATTCCCTTGAACCCCATTCTAAAAATCCCAAATTTCTACTTTTTCACCCTGTGTTAACTCAACTCCCACACTGCTCAAACCCTTGTGGCTTGTAATTCCTCATACAGAGTTGGCAGCTTTTTCCACGGGCTAAAATCAAAGCCACAGGTGTTTTTGAGTTTGTGCCAAGGTCTCTGAGCCCCTGCCAGGGTCTGGAGCCAGCCAGGGCAGCCAGAGGGATGCCCTGGACTCTGACACCCTGGGCTGTCCCCTCCCAGAGAGCACATCAACAACCCAAGCTGAATCCTCAGAGCAGCCTCGGGGTTGTCACCATCTCATGGTTCCTCATGGTTCCTTTGGGTTCCATGGTTTTTTGCCTTGTCATGAACATCTCATGGTTCCTTTGTACTGGCCCCAGATTTTAAGAAATGTTGTCCAGATTGATGCCACAGTTTTTATCATGGGCAGTGTTATGTGCTTAGCACAGGCACCCCTGAGCTTTGATATATTTTAAAAATGTGGTTGTGGTTGGGCTCAAAAACTTGAATTCAAACACAGTGAAACCACTGGGGACTGACTTGTGACCACAACACTGGTTTTGAATTATTAAGTGTGTTTTTAATCTTTGATTTCAGTTGTGATGCTCAGTCTGTTCCTTGAAGAAAGCGAGTGAGGGTAATTTAGTCAATAAAAAAACATCTCTGGAGGCAGCAGAACTGGGTCTATTTTCTCTCCTGGATGTTTCAATTTCTGACATGTCCAGCAGTAAACCCCTGTTATGTCTGTCAGTGAAGCTTCAGAGAGCTCAGCTGCTCAGGGCAACTCTTCCAAACAGATGTGAAATTCCCATTAAACACCCCAGCCTCTCACCCTTGCTGGAAAAGGGCAGCATGCAGGGCCAGTATTTATGTTCCTAATTCTGAAATGCAGTGCTGCTCACCCTGAATTCTCTCCTGCAGATATTGCCCCCCTGATACTGACCCCAGATGAGGAAAACTACGCCACGGTCGTGGGTTACAGCGCCTTCCTGCACTGCGATATCTTTGCCTCACCTGCAGCAGATGTCAGATGGTAGGATACTGGGAATTGTTTTTTTTTTCATGTGAAACAAGTTTGAAAAGTCTGCTAGTTGCTATTTCTACAGAGCTAAGAATATAAATTTGCAACAAAACTATATAATTCAAATTCTCTGTGTTTAAATGCGCTTTCAAGAATTCTGAAGAATTGGTTTGGAAAAAAAGATTTCCTGGAAGTCCCCATTACCTGTTTGAGACAAATGCCAGGCTATACATTAAGCAAAACCATGCTGTTTATAGCCAAATCCTGCTGCAGCTTTGTCAGTTTAATGTTGGCAACCCTTCAATTTTGGAAGGGTTTTGTGCATTTTGGAAATGCAGCGACTTAAAAAACACATTTGTCTGGACATGTTTCCATAGGCCTGGAAATCACAGGATTGTCACAGCAGCTGACAGGTGCAATAAAATTGCAGGTGGCAGCTGTAGATTAAAGACAGAGTATTTTAAAGAATTTTTTAGGCTCTGTCCCTGTGGTTTTGGTGTGCAGGACTCTTAAGTCCCATTATGATTTGCTTCATGTGCATAAATTATCTCACTAATTCTGTCTTTAATTGCTCAGTGGCAAAGCTGAGTCCTAAAATTCCCCTGCAATAACCCCTAACCATGAACTAACTCTTCCTGCAGTAACCCAGGCCTGTTTTTATCACCTTTAGGACTAAGGATGACAGCATAGAGCCCCTGTCAACATTTCGCTACGAGTTAAACAAGAACGGCACCCTGGAGATCAGGGATGCAAAAAAGGAGGATTCGGGGTCCTATGCCTGCTGGGCTGCAAATTCTGTGGGGAAAAGAGCAATCACTGCTAATCTGGATATAAGAGGTGAGAAAAGAAAAAAAAAATCTTTCACAGCTGCTAAGATTTTATGACAATTTTTATGTATTTTATGCTAAGATTTTATGTTTTTCAGGAAGTAGTGAATATTCGGTCCTGGGTACAGATTTATTCTGTGACTTTAGGAATTTTCTGGATATTACAAGCTGAAATTGTCACAGGTCTCATATATAGATGAGCCTTTAAAACAGTCCCAACTTTTCAGCTGGATTTCTCACATGGTGCTCATTTTCTTCTGGATGCTTGCAGAAGCTGCACAAGCCACCAAAAATTTGCATTTACACATTATCTTGAAAGGATTTTGCCTCCTTTTTGTCACTGCCCTGTTACACTCAGGGCAGGCTCTTGGCTGACCCTTGGGAGCCTTCCCTGTGCTCCTGGGCTTGGTGGGGTCCTTGTTGATCCAGATGTGTTCCTGCTCCTCCCTCAGCTGTGGGATTCCTTTCCCTAAAATTCCTTCCTGATCTGTTGATCAGAATGCACATCCCAAACTGGGTAACTCCCACACTGGGCACCAAACACGTTGCAGGGTGCTGCTGGCTGAAGGACTTTGCACTGGGTTTTGCCTGTTTTGTTGATAAGTATTTTTAAACAGGGCAAATAAAAATCCTCAGATGTGTTTACTTTGAAATTTGAGATCCATCCCTTGTGCTGCAGCTCTGCTTTAAGGGGTTTGTGTGGTTGGCTGGCAGGAGGGGTTTTCCCTGGAGGGTGTGGTGGCAGTGGGCAGCTCCTGTTGGGCACACAGGTGGCATTTAGTGGGTTTTCTACAAATTTGCTTAGGATTTAGGGCTTGCCAATTAAAAAAACAACAACAACAAAAAAAACCCCACTTAAATACTCAATTAGCAAAGCTCTCTGATGTAGGTTTGCTGTGACAAACTTGAGGAAAAAGCCCATTCTTTGTGTTCCATTTCCACCCACTCCATTGGCTTTGGGAATTTTACAGTGGTAATAAACATGAAAATGTACAATGAAAATCTCACAGAGCAACATTTCACTGCAGAAATAAATTCAGCTTAGCGCTTTCTTCTTACTTATTCATCTGTTTCTGCATTCAGATTATAGTCAATTAAAAGAACAAACTTGATTGCAATAATTTTTTCTCACTTGACTTTAATAGGCTTGTAGTTTTTCTTGGATCATTGCCAAAGCTTATTTCAAATGGCAATTAGACATAAAAATAATATTCAAGCTTTTTTTTTTTTTTTTTTTTTTTTTTTTTTTTTTTTTTTTTTTTTTTTTTTTTTTTTTTTTTTTTTTTTTTTTTTTTTTTTTTTTTTCTGGAGCTCTTTGGTTTGGAGTGAACTAAAAAATATTTCAAGAAAAAAAATGTTTGAAAATAAAAAAAATGTTTCAAGATTAAAAAAACAGAAATCCTGGCAAATGTCTATTTCAAACCCCACCATCCTTGACTTGAAATGTTTATATATATGACAAAAATAGACATGATTTTTGCTCCTGAAGTTGATTTGTGTAGATGAAGTGCTTGGTGAAAATTTGATATAATAGCCCCTATCTCACCTAATCAAAGTGTTTTTCTGTGATCAATCAGATGCTACAAAACTTGTTGTTACTCCGAAGAACCCCCGAGTGCTGAAATCACATTCCATTTTATTGAAATGCCAGGCTGAGTATGATTCCCACTTGAAACACAGTTTTAAATTATCCTGGAGGAAGGATGGAGATGAGCTGCCAGTCAACAGCACGGAAGGTGGCAGGTGAGTGGGGAAGGAACAAGGCTGTTCTTGATCTCAGCTGGATAATCTGGTGTGGTGCTGGAGCTGGAGCTCCATTAAACATGAGCCTTAATAGCTTGAAATGCAAATTTATGTCTGCAAAGAGTTCTTCATGCGATACGGGAGTAGATCTGCATTTTATACACATCTAAATATAAATGCAGCAGTGTGAGTTTTGAGCCAAATGGGTTTGGGTTTATTAACTCTGCTGCCATCATAGCAGAATATAAAGTTATATGTTAATATATACATTACATATATATATATATTTATGTATAATATAAATGTTGGCCCAACCCAAGAACACAACCCTGACCCCAGTGCAGGTTGTTTCTCCACTTCAGTGGAACCAGGATTTTCTTACAGTTTGAACTTATTTGGTCAAAGCAAAGTCTTTGCTATGTTGAAGTGATGACAAAGAGATTTTAGGGATTCTGCCGTGAATCTTTCCTATATATGAGTTTAGGATTTGCAGGCTGAATTTTGCCCTATTTTTGGGTTTTCATTGACCTCAGGGGGCTGGAGCTCAGCCTTTATTCTACAGAGGAGTCCCACAGGGGCAAATCAGATGTCTTTATTAATTACCACAGGAGAGAGATGATTTCCTAAATACTGGGGAGGCTGAAAACCCCGCTGAGCCCTCGTAGGATGGTGAGGCAGTGCCATGGAAACTCCGTGTCTGCCACGGAGCCCACGGCCTTGGATCCTTGGCAGCTTCCCTGGTGCTTTTGACATGATACAAATGCCTTGGGAATGCTCAGTTTCCCTCAACCTTTCAACAATTCTATCATAAACCCCATATATTTGTCTCATTAATGACGTGCCAAAATCCTATGGCCCAGATCATCTAGTGCATGTCAATGTGCTTCTTTTCAGAGCAGGATTGACAGGCCAACCTCCAGCCACGGAGGCTAAATTGCCAGAAAATACAAATAAAACTCCTCAGCACAGTGTAGAGCAGAGCCACAATTCCATTTTAATGTAGCAGGTCCAGTGTGCAGCATTTAATGAACATGCCAAGTTCTATTCTGAACAATTTTTCAGAGAGCAACATTTATGTGTCATACTCATCTTACATATTTTTATCATCCTTATTACCTATATTTTTTTTTCTTTTTTTGCCCTGCAGGATAATTCTGGACAGGGATACCCTGTTCATCTCCAGTGTGCTCCTGGAGGATCAGGGGGTTTACAGGTGTGTGGCCAGCACTGCCCTGGACTCTGCTGAGGCTGAGACACAGCTGATCGTTCTGGGTAAGGTTGATTTTCCTTGCAGCAGGAATTGCCACTGCAGCACTTCTTTGCTTCTTTTCACAGAGCCTCAATAACCCAATTTCACAGTCTCTCACTCCTTAAGCTCAGCTGTGCTGTCCCTTATCTCTGGGAATGGTGATGCTGAAACAAACTCGATTTATTTGCATTGTTGGTGTAGTAAGATGAGGCAGCATTTTTGCCTCAGTTCAGTGGCTGCAGGAATTGCCCAGGCTGGAAGGTGTGAGAACATACTAAGAATGTTTCTGCTGCTGCTTTGAAGCCTTTGGCCAGTCCTTCACAAGAATTGGGCTGTTTTTTGAAGGCCTTCAGACCAATATTTGGATGTGCAGCTCCTCAGAAGATCAGTGCGAGTTAAGCACCTAAATGGAATTAATTCTATCTGTGAACCTGAACGTGAAAGATCGTCCAGGGGCAAGGAGCAGAGAAGAGCCTGGACCCCCGTGGGTCTGAAGCTTGGCCTTCTGAGAGCATCCTCACCACCTGCATCCCTCCCTGAAGGACCCCTTGGAATTAAGAGTTGGAATTAACTTGTGGAATTAACTTGTGTCCAAGGCAGCAGCCAAAATTCTGCTTTGTGGTCACAATTTTGGCCAGCCTGGTCTAAGTGAAAATCTCCCTACCCATGGCAGGGGGCTGGAATTAGATAATTTGTAAGGTTCTTTCCAACACATTTTGTGATTTTATGATTCTCTAACAGCTTTGCATAATTTTAATTACATTTATTTTTGCTTCATTTTACATGTTTTTTTATTGCTGGCAGTGATTGCAGCAAGAAATAAGTCAATCTGCCCTTCAAGATGTTTTTCCACTTTAAAGGAGTAATATTTTTCAGTAAATAGTAAATTAGGAAGATGCTGTGCACATTATTTATGGTGGTGTGTCCTTCAGTGCTGCATAATTCAAAATGTTTGTAGATTATTCGTTACTTCACTTATGAAAATTTCATAAAGCATTTTATTGCTTTTTAAAAAGGTGCTTTGCAGAATAAGAAAAACAGTTTTGTGCTCTTTTCCCTTGTTCATTGCATATGAGAAAGGTCTTGGTGAATTAACTACATCTTATTTTCCAAGTGAAAAATTCAGGATTTTGCAGTCAAGGACTGGTGGGCTGACTGAAGAACTAAATAGAGACATCAGATTGGGGCAACTAAGAGTAAAATAAATATTCTATTAGAATAATTCTAAGTATTTATTTGGTAGAGGAGTGAGAATATTTAAGATGCACCATCACCATCTTGAAATTAATATATTGAATTTTAAACAGCTGTACTCCGAGGATAGAGCAGAAACGTGCCTGCAGATTAAACTGTGTTTTCCTGATATTTTCCAAGATACAAGAGAAATTGGGAAAAAAATAAAAAGAAAATGAAAAATAATCCAAATATAAACACTGCTCTCTTTTATAGAGAACATCGTGATCATTAATTCCATTGGTCTTGGAGAAAAATATTTCACCTGACTGGTACACTGGACTTAGGTCAATGTGGCAGAACATATCTATAAACAATATGAACAGAAAGTAAGATAATTGATTGTTTACATTCCTCTTGGACTTCTTCTCAGTCTTAGCCTGGCAGGAATATTTCTCTTTTATCTCTGACTGACCTGAGAATATCCACATTTCACCACCATCTTGACTGACTGTGCTGTTCCAACACCCTGGAAGATGCCAGGACAAACAGAAATACCTTGCTGTGCTCATGACACTTCTTTATTTCTCAGATGTTCCTGACCCACCAGAAGACCTCCAGCTCTCAGAAAACCAAAACCGGAGCGTTCGACTCTCCTGGAAAGCTGGGGCCAGCCATAACAGCCCTGTTAATGGTAGGAAGAGGTTTCTAGCATAACTTTTTGGGTCTGTTCAGAATTCTGTTACATCCTGGTTGTCACAGGACACAAACCCTGCTGACGGCCAGATTTACTCACTTTTACTATGACAGTTCATTTCCACCCGCGCTGTTCACGCTAAGTTATTTTTAAATTAATTTTTCCGTTGTTTTTTGTCCTTTTTCCTGCCCAGAGTCAATTATAGAGTTTGAAGAGAACCGCTGGGAGCCGGAGAGGTGGCAGGAGCTCAGCAGAGTGCCAGGGAACGTCACCACAGCCCTGCTGTCCCTGGCCCCGTATGTGAATTACCAGTTCCGTGTGGTGTCCGTCAACGCCGTGGGCAGGAGCCAGCCTAGCACACCATCCCTGCGCTATGCGACCCCTCCAGCTGGTAAACCTGGCTCTGGTTTCCTAAATATTAGTATTTTCAGTGCTTTTTTTTTGGAATATCTGTGCCCTCCCATGCTCCAGAGGGTGTAGAGCGTTCAAGGTAGTTTGCGCTGCTCAGTGGCAGCCTCAGGGATTATTAAAAGTAGGTCCTGTGGTGGGAATTACCCCTCAGATGGTTTGGTGGACTGGAATAACTCTCAGTAATTTTGGTGGGGCAGGGGACTATTTAAATGGACTGTATTAACTAAGTCAGAGAGGTAAAATCAGCTGGAGGATATCTCGTGACAAGCCGTATTCTGATATTGTAGATATTAATGAAATGGGAACCCTTCTGGGTTGAATTCTTTAGTGATTGGTAAAAAAGAGCAGCCCAGCAGTTGCACATCAAATGTCCAAGCATTGTTTTGAGCATTTGATGTGCAGTTAGAACAAATCTAAATTTTAATGACCCAGCTTGCTGCTCTGCATAAAATTCCCAAGGATGCCAAAGGGAGGGGGCCACGCTGCTGAGTTTTCCTACACTTCCAGCACCTCATGCTGTTGATTTTCCACCCTTTGCAGACCTTCATGGACAAACAGCTCCTGCTGAAGGCCTGGGTTTACAAAGAACCTTTCAGGAGCACTAATCTTGTCAAAAATCTCCATTTACAGAGCATTCACTGGGGCAGAAAATGTTGTCTCCCTGAAAGTCATTTTAGAGGCCAACTGTTCAGCACGGCATTTGCATTCCTTGGCATTTTCTCTCTTTTTTTCCCCATTTGAACCAATTTCAGGTCCCTCTTCAGCTTTCCAGCTGTGTGTGCACCTCTAATGATGCACCTTCTGTTTGCTATCCCCACAGGGAGAAAAATCTCTTCCTCATAATCCCCCCACATCTGGTGCTTTCAAATCTAAAAGTCACAGCTCCATGTTAGCTGATGGCTCCAACCAACAGGGGCACTTAGGAATCCAAACTTCATAAATGATATGCTTGGGTCCCATCAGCTTGGCTGATCCAAGTCATTCATCTCATGAACGTTTTTTGTCTAAGAGTCTGTCACTAATAGGGGAATTTCCCATCCTTTCTGGCATTTAAATGCTAAATGCAAATAAATGGGATGTGCAAACTAACCTTGTCACCTGTGTGGTTTCAGCTCCAGATAAAAACCCAGAGAATATCCGAGTTGAAGCTTCTGAACCCAATGAAATGGTGATGAAATGGGAGGTAAGGCAAGATTAGCAAATACTATAGGAATTATCCTTTATTCTTCTGAAAGGTGAATTTGACTTATGTGTATTCTGCATTTTCAACCTCAGTATCATTTTTATTTCAAAAGACTGTTTTTTTTATGTCTGACTTCAGAAGATATTAAAAAAAAATATGGAATTCCAGTAAAGCATAGCGAGAATTCACCAAAATTTTCTCTTCTCTGCCTCTTTTATGCAAGAAACTAATTCAAATAATTGTGGTTTTACCCTGCTCTGCAATTAAAATTACCAGGCAAGCCCAGGGAGGGGATGGGTGGCTCATGGCTTCTGTCCTTCCAGCCTGGAAGTTTAAAAATGCCAGAGATCACTTGCCCAAGAGAATGTGAGCTTGAATTTTTACACCATGAGCTAAAGAAATGTGGATAAACTCCAAACGTGTGTAAACTCCAAAGTCTGTGATGTGCATCAAAGGAATTATGTAAAAGTCTTGAGGATGGTTTCCAGACTTCAAATTTCCTGGGTTTTAAGCCTCAATCTTCTGTGCCAGCAGTGGAGTTATGTATTCCTTCATTTAGCACAAATATCCACAACTGTGGATGGAAGCAGGTTTTTGTTGAGGCTGGAATTACACCCAACTTGCATGAGATTTACTCCTCAATCTGCTGCTCCCAGCAAAGAACAACAAATGTTTTCCCAGTAGGAAGTCATGGTTTGGGGTAGAATTGCATCCAAAAGGAGATGTCCCTCAAGATCCATGGGCTTGGATTTAAATGGGATTTTTACCCCAGGGTCAGGAGAGAAAAATTCTGCCTATTAGAAAAGGTTGGATTTGATCTTGGAGGTCTTTTCCAACTTTAATGAATCCACAAAACACACAGTTTTAGTACCCAGTATGTTTACTGGGAAATACTGGGATGGCCAACGCACCTTTGAGAACCAGAAACTTCATAATCACTGCTCAGACAGGGCAAAAGTGGAAGTGAAAGCTGAGTCTGAAAGGAGAGAATGGGATGGAAAAGCTTGGTTAAATCTTGTTGAATCATTAAAATGTTGTTAAAGAGGATATTCATTTATTCATGGCATTTCCTGTGTGCTTTTCAGAGGAACTGCTGGGCACTGCACAGGCTATTTCTGACAGACAAAGGCTGCAGAATGATGTCAATCTGCCTATTTTGGATTAAGAGACCAGCTGAGCTTTAGTGACTGAGATTTTCAGCCAAGGATTTGCAGCCTTAAGGGAGATCAAAATAAAAGTCAAGCAGTGCTGCAATTTAACTTTATACAAGAAATCAGATGTTTAGGAGGAAACTTACTTCTACATCTTCTCTTGCAAATCCCATTCACTGGGATCTGCTGTGGAGGTGGTGCCTGTGAGAAATCTCCCAATCTCCCAATTCCTTTGCTTCAGACATCCCAAAGGTCCCCATAGCAGAGCAGATCAGTGGGAATTTTTTGCAGATCCCCCAAAATTAGGTCTCCCTGTGCATGAGGAGCATCAAAAGGGAATAACTTTCTACTGGTATTTGATGCTATTTCCTGTCAGACCTCTTGGATACAAACCAGCTATTATATATTTCATATTTGCTTATATTCAAATATTATTAAAGACAGCCTATATGGTGGGAAACACCCACAGCTGTTCCAGTGTTTAGCTTTTTTGGAAGGGTAGGTGGTTATTTAATTTTCTTAATTAAAGTAGAGCATTTTCAGAGAAAAAAAACTCAACTTGAGGATGTTTCATGACAAGCTATTGCTATACATCTCCTAATATTTTATAAATTCATGTTAATTAGCTGGAAACCCTGCTGGGATGAATTCTCCAGCTGATTGGTAAAAGCAGAGTGGCCCAGCAGTTGCACATTAAATGTCCAGGCGTAATTTCAACCATTTGGTGTGTAGTTAGAACAAATCTAAATTTTAATGACCCAACTTGCTGTGCTACATAAAATTCTAGGATAAAATGCAAATTTTATCTCTGCTAAAAGGCACACACAGCCTTATGCCAAACTGTGCAGTTCAGTAGTGCTGAAGGCGTGTGGTTTCACCTCACACAGGAAAACCTGTGGCAAAACAAAGCCTGATGTGTGTAGGAGACAGAAATTAATCTGGATTTTAATGCAAGCCTTTCACCCTCCTTTCTCTTGAAGTCACGATGTTGTTCCAATCATCCTAAAATTAAAAGGACAGCAAAACCTCAAAGACTGGGGGTTTTGCCCTTTTTCTGTCCCAGTGTTGTATCACACATTCGAAAGCCATCCCACTCCCCTTTGGCTGCTGGTTTGTGATTACAGCAAAGGCAGACAAGATCTCTCTTAACTTTTCCCCAGCCACTGAAGCCCACGGAGAGGAACGGGCCGGGGCTGGAGTACAAGGTCAGCTGGAGGCAGCGGGGTGTGGAGACCGACTGGAACGAGGAGCTGGTGAAGAAGCACTCCCTGAGCGTGCGGAACGTGCCCACCTTCGTGCCCTACGAGATCAAAGTCCAGGCCGTGAATAATTTGGGATCTGGCCCGGAACCAAACATCACCATTGGATATTCAGGAGAGGACGGTGAGTGGCAGGAACTTGGCTGTAAAAATGGGGGTTTCTTGTGCTGCAGAATGCTCAGGTGTGGAGTGATGGATTGGGCAGCCCAAAGCTGCTGGAGTGCCAGGGCTCAGCCTGATGGGCTCCATCAGGCATGGACGTGACCCGTGCTGGGTGCCTGGACTCCAGCTTGCTGGAATGTAAGGGTTTTTTTTGGAAAGGTCACTTGTGCTCTCATTAATCTCAGTTGTTGGCTGAGTCTGGGTACTTGTTGGAAGGCCACGGTCCATGAGAAGTCTCTGAAGTGTAGCAGTCGGGTTGTACTTGGTAGGGAAAAATTCTCTGGGCTCTGTGAGGCTTGACCCAGCAGTTTAATGCTGTCAGAAGTTAAATACTTGGACAATTAGGGACAAACTCGCAGGCACTGAGTGTTTGAGTGAATTTGCAGACAAAGCCATGTTCCCACGTGCGATGGTGTTACCTTGTCCATGAGTCCCTGAAGAATGTGTCATCGTGTCCAGCCTGGGTTTTTGCCCCTGGGTTTTCCATGGCTCCCAGGTGGAGTGTCAGTGCTGGAAATGGACTCGGTGGTTGTCAGACAGGAGAATCCCCTCTGCCCACCCAGGGGTGGGAGCAGGAAGGTCTGGTGGTGCAGAAGGGGTGTCAAATAGTGAGAATGAGGAGATAGAAACTCCACAGCATGTTTATTTTCTTTGTCTCTCTGTGATGTGTCTAATTTTGCATCTACCAGTGGAAAATCTTCCTCGCAATTTAGTTGTCAATGGATCAAGGCCTCCTTTTTTGCAGGCACTGTAATAGCTCTCTGTGTTATGCAGTGATTAAAATCCTACTGTTTAATGAGCTGAGTTGTAAAATGAAATTGATTATAAAAAAAACCTTTATGATTGCCTTCTTGAGTGCTGTGTTAATCATTTTTTTATTCTTCTCACTGCTGTAAGCATTGCTTGAAACAGGAAATCATAAATACTGGTGCAGAAATTCATGTGTCCCAGTACACATGTATCTCAACCCTCAGCAGAAAAATACAGAAAAATAATGTTTATTGGCCCATTCCACCCACTGGATGCAGGTGGAATGGCTTTTTGCTTGCCCACAGTGAGACTGCATGAAGTGGCACAGCTAGAGCTGGAAAGCCAAGCCCTGGAGCTGTGAACAGTGTGAATCTGTGGGTTTGGAAGTGTTTTTAACACCTGGGGCTTTTGTTTTTACAGTTCCAGATGCTGCTCCTTCGGGCGTGTCAGTGGAGGTTGTGAACAGCACCCTGGTCCAAGTCTTCTGGTTTGGGATACCGAGGGACAGAGTTCGTGGGCACTTAAGAGGCTACAAGGTTAGGAATCTCTCTATCAGTATTTGTATGTAGTTGAATAAATCATCAAATGATTGCAATGATTGCAGATTGCAATCTCTTGTTTTTGGGAAGGTGAGAGAGATCATGATCATGCTAATCCCCACATACAATATAATCCCAATATACAATACAAATACAATCTATAATTATAGAAGTCCCAATCTCCTCGCAGGTCAGCTGGTGGAAAACAAGAAGCATGCTGGATGGAAAGAGGCATCACCCAGAGAAACATTTCCTGACGTTTGTAGGAGACAGGAACTCTGGAATGATTCCTGGCCTGGAGCCCTTCAGTGAATTCCACTTGACAGTTTTGGCTTTCAACTCCAGAGGAGATGGCCCTGAGAGCTCCCCTGTGGTGTTTGAGACTCCAGAAGGAGGTAAGACAAGAGGAAAATATGGGATGGAGGGTCATAAATTGAAATTGTCCTTGGGACAAGGTGAGTTGATTCCCTGATTTAAGGGGATAGTAAAAACTCCACTATTTGTAGAACCCTTCTCTCAAAAGGGAGCTGTGGGTGTTGAGGTACATTATATCCTCATTTAACACGGATTTTTAGGGACAGACCTGTTCACTCTCCTCTGAAAGCTCATCCCTGTGTCTTCCAGTCCCTGAACAGCCACGTTTTCTCAGGATCCTGAACTTTGACAAGGACTCAGTCACTCTGTCCTGGGGACTTCCCAAGAAAGCCAATGGCCACCTCACTGGCTACATTCTGCAGTACCAGATAAGTATGTGCCTCGTTTGCTTTGAGTTCAGAATTAGTTAAAGAAAATTCCCAGTTGTGATGTGCACAGAGGCTGCCAGAGGGCAGCGTACAGTTTTCCATGCTTTTTTTTTTTCCCATGGAAGCTCCCACTGCTGCCATTCCCTGTCCCACATTTATGGGCTGATCCAATTATTTCATATTGGCGAATTACACCTAATGTAGTGGCTAAAAAGGCCCATAAATTGTAGGTGCATTTTACTGTAGTGACACTCATTTAATACAAAGTGAATTGTGATGAGATCACTCTATGAAGCCACATTAATGTAGATCTGCACATTATATCAGTGGGTTTCTCCCCGCTAAGGTGCCTCAGCAGAAACACAAAGGACCACCTGAGTCATGGTGTTGAGTAATCACACTGAAAACAACCAAATACCAGGGGAGTTCTTTCTTTCTGCCTAGGAAAGAAATGAGAAACAAAAACAGCCTCAGGCAAGACCCAGTACTTAGCCCAAACTGTCACAACACCAGTTATGTGGTGTGATGATAATTCAGTGTATTTTACATGTTCTTTGAGAGTGGAAAGGATGATTCTGTGCCATAATTATATAAAAAAAAAAAAAAAAATCACCCCTGTACTTTACACTTCTCTCTGCTGGTAGCAGAACTGCTCAGATGCCTTTGCATCTGGATCTTCCCTTTGCTTTTGCCGATTAAGGGCAGAGAGTGGATCTATTTACAGGATTCTAGACTTGTTGAGTTTGGAAGGGAACACAGAGTCATCTCAGTCATCCCACAGCACAGGAATGTGTCCAGATGGCTCTGGAGTATCCCCAGTGAGGGTGACTTCGCTGGGGATACGTTCCAGTACTCTGACACTCCACAGGGAAGTTCTTCCTCGTGTCCAGGTGGAACTTCTGGGCTTCAGTTCCTGCCCATTGCTGGGCACCACCAAGCACAGTCTGGTCCATCTTCTGACACCTCCCTTCAGCTATTTCTGTGTGTTTATAAGATCCTGTCAATTTTCTCACAATCGCTCCTTCAGCTGCCAGCTCTGAGGAGCCAGAGCAGCTCACAGCACACCAACCACCCTCTGAGCTGCCGGTAAAAGTTTGCAGATGTTTGGAATCAAAGCAAGAAGCAATGAATGGATATTTAATGATCTAGGAGACAGTCCTTCTTACCTCCCTCTGAGGCTGTGCATATGTGCAATCAGAGAACTTTTCAAGAGCAGTGATATCTCCCCGAACCATCGGGAGATGGGCACGGAGGACACAAATCCCATTTAACACCAACGGGAAGGGCGCCTACACTCCCCCAGCCTTCCTCCTCCCCTCTCCCTGCTGACTGCTCCCTCCTGGGGGTGCCCAGGACACCTTTCCGTGGCTCTGACCGAGGTGTTTTTCCCTTGCAGTCAACGAGACGCATGAGGTGGGCGCCGTGAGCAACGTGAGCGTGGCCAACCGCTCGGCGCTGAGCTGGCGCCTGGCGGGGCTCAGCCCCAGCACCAAGTACAAGTTCTACATCAAAGCCTGCACGGCCAAGGGCTGCGGGAAGGTGGCCACCGAGGAGGGGCTGACGCTGGCCCAAGGCAGTAAGTCCACAAAACCCGCTTCGGTGTGGAGGAGCTCTGAGAATAGCAGGAAAATTGTAGGTAAAACCTTACGGAATTAGGGCTTTGTTACCCATGTAAAATCATGGCTAGAGCCTGCTGCTTCAGCTAAGAAAGGACTGTGGGAAAGAGACTCAGCTTGAATTGGAGGTAGGAAAGTGACTCAGCTTGAATTGGAGGTAATAAAACAAGTTATAGAGCCACGACACATCGTGGTTTATGGTGGTTGGTTGAGTTACATTTGTTGTGCTTTGACAGAAGGCAGCTGGTAACAGCCTAGCTGCTTTAAAAGGCCTGGTTTGTGCAATAAGGAGTTCTCCTTTGCACCTGCCTGGGGACTCTGCATTACTCTGCTTTTCTGTAATAGAAAAATCCATTGGGAATAATCCAGGCTTGACGTTTCCTTTGTAATTAGGGGAAGTAAGTTTGTTTTCCTTGCCATGAGAGCAGTCAATGGAGTTTTTAATGTGGCCATGGTGTTCTTCAGGGAAGCAGAGCTCATCTGTTTCATTTTGCTGTGCAGACTTGTTTCTGTTCCCACCTATCAACTCCTGAAGTCGTGCTGGAATAAGTGAATTGCATTCAGATACAAACAGAAAATTGAAGATGCAGATAATCTGTTCTCAGTAATATTATAAAAACAAATTCTGCTCATGCATGAAGATAGGGGACTGCCAGCAACATTAGGGTCAGCAGTTTGACATGGAAAATCCAGATAAACATCAAGTTGACTGCATTTGCTCCATTATTTATGATTATTTTATCAGAGACCAGGAATGAGTGTTTGTGTGCCACTTACACCCTGTGCTGAAACACTGATGTTCAGTGATTTAAAGGAAAATCCCAAGCACTCTATGATAGCTCATCTTTCACTTTCAGCCAAAATGAAATAAAATGTACTGTGCTCAGCAAGTCTGAGAACTCCACAGT